TATATTGGGTATAGTTGCCATAGTAAACAGTTTCGAAGTGTTTTAGATTGTATAATCATAGCATTTCATTAGTTATTAGGATGATGGATGACTTAGGTTAATAGTTATTTTAAAGGTAAAGTACATATGGTTGTTAGTTTATTACTTATTTATATATGGCTTAGCGGACAACATTAACAACACATAGGATACCTACTGTTTTATACCTAGTACCTACTGGGGCTGACTTTGAAAGTAATCACTGGAGTCATCTATTTTACCTATACCATCAAGTAGCTTGCATCGTATGATGTAGTTCGGTTGTTCTGTGAGATTAGGTAGTAAAATTACGGTACGGAGACTAGACACCTTAGTCCTCCGGCATGGCATCTTACAGGTATGATAACATGATGTCATGATCACGTTCTTGTATTGTATATAGAAGACGGTTACTACTTACTAATAAATAGCTTATTTGCCATTCCAGTTGTATAAACAATCAGTCACTTGCCTTAGCGCATATCTACATATATTTATCCCATTATTCAAAATTTCTGTAGAAGAGTATTCAGCCAAACTTCAAACTTCTAACTGAAGAAATATCTCATGAGACTATATATGCATATTCATTATAATATATATATATTTTTGTATTTAATCAATAAGCTTTAATTTTTGTTTATTTATGTAATTATATATGTATTTTATACGGGTATATTAGTATGTTTATATATATATATATATATATTTATTTATTTTTCTTTATATATTAATTGTTAAATTGCACCGCTTTATTATCTCTGATCAACGCGACGGTTGACTGGTATAGAATGCCATTAAGTCCGCCATGTATACATTTTTGTGTGCAAAATAATAAATAAATAATATACTTTAATGGATTCCTGTGTCTGTAGTACACGTCTACAATATATTTCTGTGTAAGTTTGGACTTATCTGTAAATATAAAGTCGTTGTGTTTAGGAGTGAATGTTACTGTTGAAGTGTTCATTCAGTAGGCGGTTTCTGTAAGGGCAAGGGCGGCCTTAAGTGTACCTAACTGATTTATTGACCGCCCGGCCAAGTCTGTCGAGATACGAACGTTTGTTTATCGCCTCGAACTTCTAAGGTCGTACAGATTTTTATAGGTACATTCTAGACATATTTTCTCTCTATTTTCTGTTTTTGTACAAAATTGTAGCAAGAATGAACATTCTTGGATTGATTTGTTATAAGTCAGATTTGATCGCACTTTTAAGGTGCAATATACGCCTAAGCTACAGGATCCTCTGTCAATCCACTGTTTTGTAATATTAAAGTATATATAATTTAGTTAAATTAAAGAGGAGAAATCGAGTATAGAGTAATTAATACATAAAATAAATATGACTGGGTTAATATTAATGTATAATTCCCAATTATTACCACAAGCATTAAATTACATCTGTCTGATACATACATCTTTATTTATAATTTTCTTTGAGCGCCACCTACACTTATTCTCTGTAACTCAGTGAGGTAAGAAATTGATTAGTGTCATTGAATAAGTCTAAGCAAATTATTTCTATTATAGAGATTGAAGTTTAGAGTTAAAACGTATTTTCTTGTAAATACTATAAATAAACACTAAAATAAATTAAATATAAACAGAGAGGTTAGCAAACAACAACAGATATGATGTAATGTGAAAGAGCTACGGAAATCTGTTTATGTATACTATAACTACATAAATTTGATTTCGTATTTACTTTAATGTCTAATTGTATGTGTAATTATCATAATTTATTTCTTATATCATACGCAAAATGGTCAATTTTTAAATTTATCCATAATAAAACAAACTTTAATAAAGATAAATTTAGTAAAGATACATCACGAACATTTCATAATAACAAAGAACTATTCCATTGAAAAAATACCTTTAAATTAAGAATTACGCATCTTAAAAAAAATATTTGTTACTCTTTCTGTTGTGTATCTGCTATTTATATTTTATAGTTGAAATCTATCTAGAGCAGGCATATCTATCAACACGTGACTAACTGGCCAGGCAGTGTAGGTGGACATTATTTCCAATGAACGTTCCATTAATAGAAATTTACAGTCCCTAGAGACAGATTAGATAGAGTCCCTAGAGACATATTATATAATGGTTACTGAAGATGTACACTGAGATGACCAACGTGCATCTATAAACAATTTGGAACTTTCCTCGTCTTGACAAGTATCTGCTACTTAATTATTTGACACTGATTTTTTATGTTGTATTGTTTTAGCTAATGCGTAACTATATTATTTAATAGTGTGAAACAATTAATAACATTTTTCCTTCCTCTGTAGGATCATTTTAGTACTTACTATAAATAATACATGACACTGGCTAGCACTACTAACTTTTAGATTGTTGCACAATTTTTAAGATTACTAAGATGTCAGCAAACATATTTTCGTGTATGAAATTAGCTCTACTGCATACTGATACAAAACCAAAAAGAATAATCATAATTATGAAAATAATAGACGGAAATTAGATAAAAATTATTTTAAATCTTTATTTGTCAATATGAAAAACGAAGGATTCGGCAAATTATAAACGAATTTATATTTTTGAATAAGATGAATTGCTATATTTTGTTCAAAAGCGTTGGAGCTTCATAATTAGTCTACATAACTCTGTTAAAGGCGCAAAAATAGTGCCTATTTTTCTTCTATTACTCCCAAGAGCTAATATTTGCTCGCTCGTGTTTTCTTAAAATATTGCCTACACACAATCCATCTCTCTTTTCTTTACACGTACCTCCCCAATCCCCAAGGAGAGCTTTATTTTCAATGCCCTTTTAAACATACATTTTATTCTGGAAGTATGTACAGAGAGATTGATAGAGTTATAGACCAGTTTACTACCTCCTAGAATCCAAAAAGTTGCAATTTCGAATTAGGTCTACTAGAACACTGTGTGTTTGTTATATATATTTTTTTATTTCATAGAAGTATTATTTAATATTTAATATATTATAATTTATTTATTTCCTTTTAGATTAGAATAGACAAAAACATTGTCCATTAGTGATTAAGGTTGATTAAGGTTGTCCGGAACATGCAATATTCTCGCAATGAACTCCGATACGGCTACATCGATATTTGCTATCTACAAAACTTATTAGACAATTTGACAAGATTAAGGTTGTCGAATGAAAACATAAATAATTATAGTCGTATACCACATAATCTATTTTATAATATATTTTCTGGCTACTACTATTAACTACATATTTATCATGATGTCTGTATATAATATATTTTACTTGAAAATTTATTTTATCTTTGAACGATATTATTCTCTATATATACACCTCTGCTGTTACTCTTTGCATGAATTAACATAATATTTAATTTTCTCGTTATTATTTTGTAGATTTGAAAAATTTTAATTTGCATGCATCCTAATTATTTTAATTATAAGACGTTCTCTGTAAAGGAAACATATAAATTATCTCTCTATCTTTCTATCTCGTGGTACAATATTTACTTAAAAGTACATTAAATTCCGTTCAGGTTAATCTACAAAAGGCAATAGAATACTTCGTATCGTTATATAGATATACTCGAATTAATAATATTTGTTTGGATTCTATAATCGAAATGTCAGGATCAGGAGAAATGCGGGCCATCATAATCAGAACATCGGGATCGGAGACTTTATACTCCTATTTTATACTTTTGTTGTAGTAAAGAGAGATTTCGGAGTTCTAAGTGGATTGCCTCGGGATCACACAATCTAGGTTACCGAATTTGGCAATCTACCTTGGCAATAACTTCACACCCTCATTTATTGCTCCACTTTGAATATCTGCACCTCCTTTAATAAAAATTTTATTAGGTTGTGCCATTGGAATATAGTTCTAAAATTACTGATAGCTAATTCAACACATTGTCTTTTGTGGGATATCTATATATATTTTACTGTCTGTTGTGGTGGCAATATAGAGAATCAATATTTTATATATTTATGTATACAATACCAACTTCAGTTCATCTTCTTAGACCACGGTCCTTTGTAATGCCTATATTCCACTGACCTAGGGAAAAAATGAGACCGCACTTATGTCTATTGCAGTTTCAGTTTTCTTATATATTGTGTCAAGGAAAAGGATTTCAGGATTTAATCTGTATGTATGTAATTTATTCATATAGAGATAGACAACACCTATTTATTATCCAAGCTCTGCTTAGATTGAAACTATCTGGCGTTATATGAATTGTCCTAGGTTATTATTTTTGTACATATAATGAATCATAATAATATATGCATTTGGTATAAGACCGAGCATTACCTAGTTGTGTATGTATGAAAATTGTTATTCCATTCCAAAATATAAATTATACGAATATTTGCATTCCTCCATTTCCTTTGTATTAGCTTACGTACGTATATTGTACGTAACAAAGTCACGACGACCTTATTGTAGCAATTTGATATGTGGATTTACTAGGACTCGCTCCGTTCGCGTCACTGGAGAATAAAATATTTTCCTATACTCTTGGTGACAATAGAACAAAATAAAATATGTACGCGTATAACATATACCTACAAGTCGTATTTGGGTCAATGTTTTAGATGTACGAGTACGTACACTGTATCCAATGCGAATTAGAATTTTGAATAAAATACTTACTACATTATAAATAATTTCAGTATTTCCTTTTAGAAAATAAGTATCATCTCTGAGAAAATACAAAATATGCACAAATATGTAACAGCTTTGTAAATAGTCAGATTAAAAGAAATCTTCTCAACATCAACTATCTGATGAATTGCCACGATGGGCTAACTGGCCTGACCTCATGCTCATCGTAACATCCTCCACTGGTGCTGGTGCTGTTAGCGAAGGAGGGAATACTATTCCATTCATTAAAAAAATAACAACTAGGCAACGATAGTCTCACTGTAGGTACATCTTATTATAATATTATATGCGCACTATTGCGCAATATTGACTAATATGTGTGTTTTATTTTATCAGCTGGTGAATGGCATGGGGCGACGTTTTGGATGGTTATATGTGGCGCTGCGGCGCTAGTGTTGACCACTCTGGCTGCTCTTGCTTGCTGGATTGCCCGTCGCAGAAATTCCCTCGCCCACAAACTTGGTAAATTTTATAATATAAGTAATAACATTTGTTTTTTTAGTGTTGCTACAATAGCAAACAAGTATAAGAATATATAATTATATCTTTGTCAACTACCATCACTAAATTGTCTAACGAAAGATCGCGACAGACAGCACTCAAGGTATCTGTACACTTATTAAAATATGCTACTGAATCTAGTCAGGATTCCATGCAGATGACAGTTTTAACCTATCTTCCCGTTTAAAATTATTATATATTTTAATTTCTATTTGCTTTCCGTATCATAAATGGATAATAGTGGTGATAAGCAATATGCACTTTAAGAAACTGGAAGACTGTAAACGCATGCAACTCAAGAGAAGTGGTGACCCTGTCTCAAAATTATTCGTGGCTTAATTTTGTTCATAATTCTTTACTTACAGATATTAATTGTAAATTAAAATTGGGTGTAGGAAGCAAGCGTTGCCCAGACAAGGCGCTAGTGTTTCAACCACCGCGACGAGCGACCGCAGTCCGGTCGCCGGGTTCTGCCACGCACTATTTGCGCAAGTCTCCATCACCCACGGCCCCGGTGCCTCCAGCAACCACCTCGCCGCCCCAGCCGCAACCGCCTCCGCAGAATCCGGTAACCTATACATCACTTTATACCGAACCAGCTGTTATCCACAAATTGTTTTGCACTTTTCAGAGAAAAGGTAGTCTAATTTGATGTCCTGCTTCTTATTCACTGTCGACCATAACATGTACATGACATTAAACAAATGCTTAATTGTGTCAATATAATGATTATGGAACAAGCTTCTTACAACACTCGCAATGTTTAGTTAATATTACTGGTATAGCTGATATAATAAATATAATAAAAGAAAATACAAACTCGTTTACTTCACATATTTTTCTCATACAATTTTCTTTCCTTTTATGCAGGGATCCGGTAACACCAGCCCACACACACCGACCGCACCCTCGGAGCCTACTCCTCTCAGCAAGGAACTGGCTGATGCGAACGCTACGGAAAAAACTAAACCGATCGAGCCTGAAAACAACGATGGTAAACTTGGGGATCTGCATTTCAAGTTGAGGTAACATACATATGTATATTTTAAATACCCATAATCACAGAAAATATAACATTACGTCTCATAAATATTATGTATTTTGGTTGCCCGAAAGTGATCTCTATATCTTGCTATAAGGTTATTTCATTGTAATCTCTAAATATAAATCTATTGTCTTGCTTGTTGTTATAATATGTGTTTATATTTTTTGCATAATAATTTTATTTAGTGACTGTATTAGGAGAGAAACAATATCAATAGTTTTCATTCGTTTATTGATTTAAACCTCATATATAACATAATAATTTAAACGTTCTTATAAAAAGAAATAAGTGCTATAGTAGTAGTAAATTTAGTACAAATGAATAAACGTAGTTTCAGTTTACGGCTACATTTTTTCCTTACAAATTAATAATCTAAATTAATAAATAAATACATAGATTATAAAATAATGTTAATGATACGTTGCAAGCAAGAATCGACCGTTAAAAACAATCACATAGATACATTTTATGTAATTCAGTTTTTGCCGACTATTATATAAATTCAAATACCTACACATTTCTTATATATAGTATTTTTAGACATACATATTCTAAGGTAAACAGATTTTTATGAAAGCAGTATGCGATGTATATTAGAAGAACGAGGACTCTGTCTCGACTTTATTTCGAGGGCATCGACTTAAAAAGTCTAGAAAATGTATTACACCTCTTTATGAAGACTGCAATCTTTGTACTTGTTGTAGTACCTATTCTTTAAACATGTACATATTTACTACTACTATATCTTTAAATGTTCAGAAACGTATACTTTCACATATTTAATATTGTGTACATACAATAAGCAACGTATTATTATTCAATACAATACAAGTAGTCTATATATAGAATATGTAAACCAAAGAGCTCCTTTCAACGTGTCAGTGGAAAACCCTTGTAAAATCAATACACATATACCCGTAATACTGGATGGGCGACATTGTACTGCAACAGCGAACAATTACATGGCATAACTACACAATATTGAGGGTATAGGCACTTGTTTTCAAAATTTAGTACTGTGTCTACAACCTTACTAATATTAAAGTTACTTTGAACTAACCACAAGAAACCAAGAAACTTTACAAATCTGTGGTAAGTTTAGAGAGTAATCAAAGAGTACTTAGATAATGAGTTTGAATTTGTATAAAGTTGTATTATAAGGCCTGTTATAATACAACTTTATATAAATTATATACATTACATTTCCTAATTTCAGTGATAATCTATGCAATAAGTATTAATGGCGATATTCATGTTGATGAATATCACCATGTCTCGCCTAATCTTTCCTTTTATGTACCTAAATCATAAAATAGATGCACGACGCAGAAGTTATTAGAAATAGCAGTACACGAGTAAAGAGGGAATGAGATTGTTAGTAATGATGATTGAATTTATAGGAATGTACCATGTCAGTTGACTTCCTCGCGGTTCCAACAGGTAGCAACCATTGTGGTGGGGTAAATTCCTGGTAAATTTTGTACGAGGGGTAATTAATCTGACCTTATGCCCCCACCTTATCATCCTCCAATAATGCCCCGTCAGCGTAAATAGTGCAGGAAAGTGCGCCATTCCATTATCATCCATAAAAAATACATGAGTACCACTGGCATCACATTTTTTTATGATTTTTTGTCGTTTCCATTGATTGCCATTCCTGTTACATAGAAATAAATGTAATTGCAGAATATTGTCTAAACGCGATATCTTCATTAATTATTTATTTATTACTTATACTGTCGTACCTTGTTTCGCCCACTTCTTAAGTTTTAAGATATAAGATCTATTTTCACTAGAATCCATTACACCGTTTAGTCTTGAATAGTTACAAATGTACAGACAGACAAACAGACTCTTTCGCATTTAAAGATTAGTATGGATTTGTATATCATTTAATTCGTCTGGTCACCTCTGAATTAATGCCAACAAGGATTCTCCGTTGGGTTCCTTTTTATCGTATTTTAATAAACCCTACCCGTCGCGTCTCCTTGGCAGTAAAGACGGCTTATGTAGCATTTTACTGCCGAGACATTGAGCGGGCTGTAAACCGAAGGCCTTATCAGGTATACCTACGTCTCCTCACTTGTCAATAAAAACTTAATATGCACGTAAATAGACAACGAATTGCTCTTAAACAGTAATTTGTGTTCTTTACCCATGAAGGACTTTAAACACCAATAATAGACCAGACAGTTGGGTGTTATACAATAGTACGACGTTGTTACATAAATGTTACTTGCGTCAAATCTTTTGTAATTTGGAGCCGAAATTGAGTTTTAATATAATAGTTGAACGCTTGATTACTTGCGATACTCTGTGTGTTTACATACATTTTACACTTTTTTATCTATAGATATATAAAACATTTTTTATACAAGTGGAATAACATTAAAGTTGATGGTCCATGATACGGTAATTGGTGACCATCGCCTTTATACATACAGATATACGGACATTACATCATATGGCCCATAACATCTAATGAAGGATTGTAAAGAATAAATTATAAAAAATAAAGAAATCTAGGGCAGAATATCCCACGCAGACGCCTTTGTATAAAGTCTACTTTGGTAATGTACGAATTGAATATGATAAATGAGCTAAGTAACGTATAAAATGGAATAATTATTCGATTTTCCTGATTACAAATAACAGAAAATGTACCCGTCGTAGTTCCTTTCCAGATATTTTTAACTAAAGTAGCTAGCCGAATGGGATGGTAAGGATATTGTTAAAAAATTTACGTGCACAAATGGCAAAAATTTGAATATATGATTTTGACTCTGACTTCAATATCGTTGAATATACTCTTTATTTATATATATATTATGTTTAGAGAAAGACATTATACGGGTGTACACTAAGCGCCCGCTAGATGACCGCAGCCTGCGAACCCTAAGTCGTTATTATAGCTCTATCAAACAAAAAAAGGTCTCGTAATGTATTTAATTCGAAGAAACTCGGTCTGGAAATATAAAACATTACACAAAGTTATACAAGATAAAGTTAAAACATGAATAACTGGAGAGTTTTTTTGAAATAAATGTACTGTAAGTACAATTAGGTTTTTATTATTCACTATAGATAAAAGATAAGCCATATTAGTCCTCTTAATATAACCTACCTTCACGTCATTCATTAAGAATAAACGGCTTAATCGTATTCAGCAGTTTAATCGTAATAAGAAACAGACATGTATGAATGTGTTAATTGCATGCTCGCGACTTCAATCCCAGATGAGGTAGTCATAACTGTTTTCTATTACACCTACGCGATTTTTGCCCTCAAACATGAAGTAGGCGTCGGAAGGTTGATTTAATTTATTCCTAATATATATATCATGTGGGATTTACACGTTTGACTAAGCATGGTAAATGACAAGCGCCCACCACCACAAAATATGTATGAATGTAACATAGTTTATGTAATCTTGCAGTTTCTACGTACGGATTTAGAATTCTCCAAGCATTTGTAAACATCGTGGTAACTTAAAAATTGTAGTGTGAGCTTGCAGGGGGAATCTCTGGATCTATAGAAACTTGAATGGATTTTGAAAATTCTTTTAGTATTGGAGACTCGTATTTATCGAGAAAGGTAGGTTGTATAAAATCACACTACGATGAATAGAAGCGAAGCCGCAATTGAATATGTTGCAAAAAACGTGGAAATTTTGGCGCAGTTGAAGTCGCGTGGGTAATTAGTATTATATATAATTCACATAAATCATCTCTTTCATTTATTACATTCATTGAGATGATTAGAAATTATTTATTCGGCACGAATACGTAGTAGAATTTGCCTCCATCTCATCGACATCCATAATGTCATGCTTAATAGTATATATAAAATATAAATATATACAACGTATAAAAAAAATATAAATACATATAAAAGTATTTCTGACTTGTCTATCTACTAGGCTTCAGCGGCTAAATAGCTGCATAGAGAGATCGATGTCCTGGGTATGTTCTATGTTCATGTACTTTATGCTATCGCGTGATATTATTGTATATAACATATATGGACCAGTTACCAGCGGGTGGCATGTTTGAATAGACCTCCTAATCACGGTAACGATGTTAGGTACAGACGCCTTAATGCGACATACAATTATGGGTTATCTTGTTGTCTAAAACAATTATTATAATATACTAAAGTATATATTATATAACGAAATTCAAATATACAATTGGTAATTACTAATAATGCAAGTAATCATGAAAAGTAATATTAGATACATGAATATAATAACTTCATTATGTATCTATTTTACATGAAAACGTAATCAAAATGTTTTTTGTTATTAAATTATTACGTTGAGAACAATCTTCAAACCCACGCGTTTCAAGCCCACATATTTTGACTACCGTTTGGTAAAACATTAACTAATAATATATATACATAAATATATATTATATAACGTAACATTTGATATAAAAAATGGTCTATGTGAAAGTATTCTTTGTATTTATTACTTTTACTGTGAAACCTTATGAACATTTATTTAAGTAACCAGCCATAATTGAAGAGTAGATATGCTTCAAATGTTTACGAAAGCACGTTAACACACGTTTTTTAATTTAACGTTAAGCAGTTTAACACGTTGAAGACCTCATTGAAAAACCTTATTTCTCTCATAGGGATACAATAATTTGAGGTAGACATTATTTAACCGCTAGATTTATGTCATCACCCAGTCCCAACGTGTAAAATAACTTTCGTTGCCCAGTGACCCACGTGTGTGCATGAGGTCTGGAACGTGTTATAATATTGATTCAAGCCATAAATGTAATGTAGGCAATTAAAATGCAATCAAGAATTTGGAAATGTGTTTCTGCACTTAACCTTATATCCAGCACTAGATATAGTAATCCAGTAGAAACTGTGATCAAGATTACCAAAATCTGATTACTTTCAGTATTTACAACATTTCGCTTAATAATTTTGGACACATTTTGTCTCACTATTATAGTATAACAATATATTCCACCTAATAGAAAACTAAGAATAACAAAAGAAGAGGTAATTCTCAATTCCAATATCGTTCGATTGCAAATTGTTTCTATAGAAGACTCCGAGTACTGAGAAAAGTTGTTGAGTCTTTTGTTTTTAATAACAAAATAAATATATTTTCTATATTTACTTCATTGTTATTATAATATATGTTTTTTGTACATTTTCTCTAAATTGTGCAAAAAACAATGCTGACAAAAATTAGAAGGTATAGAGAAATAGTAAATATTTTCTTGCGTGGTCTATAATTGGTTTTCCCTCTTGAATCTCTAATTAACAGATAATATACACGTATATATATATATATGGAGGCGTGGAGGTAAATCTGACATGGTATTGGCTAGCAATGGGGTTATTAATCCCCATTACTATCAAGCCAATTCCCCCTGGAGATAGTGGTTAATTTCTAGTGATTTCATCGCGATGGGCTAACTGACCTAAGCACATGCTCATCCTATCATCCTCAACTGGTGCCCCGCCAGCGTATACCAATATCGCAGGCAGATGCACCATTCTGTTATCACTTATTGCAAAAATCTTAAGGCACTATTTTACCAATCGATAGATATATATAGATCAAGTACCTACTATGTAAAATCAGGTATAAGTACGTTTTTCAAACCACATTTTATTTATACGTTTTAAAAGATCAGACATTTATAACCCTCTAAGCAATGAGTCATTGCACTCTTATATTCAGTATAACAATGAGTAATAAAACCCACGCAGTTCCCAGAAAATCTAAACACTCAATAAATCAGAAAAGTATAGGAACAATCAAAGTAATTTCAGTAGGCATTTACTTGGAGTTTAGGTCAATTTAAATGTGAGCTTTGGAATATTTTGTTTCACTTGAATCATTGAATTGCTTATCGATTTTCTGAATTACGTGGGATTGTCTTAGAATTGAGACATAAAGGAGTAGTTATACATGCTATAATTGAATAAATAGTGTAAAAAACAAAATCGCTGTTTTTGCTATCCGTTTCGCCGTTTTTTTTCTCTATGGTAAAATTAAATGGATTGTTGTATCGAAAATTTCTTCCGTAAGATTGATTACAATTTGACAATAGTTATCGATCCCGATCGATCCCTACAATATATCCGTGCGAAACTATGATGAATCGCTAGGTTCAATATATAATTTATTTTAATTTTTTACTTTGTTTAACAGTTTTGAAATATAACATAGTCCACATGGAGAAAATCCCACAAGGTGCTAAGTCCGCCATGTGCAATTTTATTTGTGTTCGAATAGTCTCAATTTATGGCACATTTGCGAAATGCGACACCTTATTGTTTTTCTGTTTTTTTTTTATAGTCAGTGAAGGTAAAAAAGATGATCTTTTCCCACAACTTGTTTTCATGAATCAAAGAGCCTTCGCCTATGACCTACGTTTTAATGTTGTACGGGCGGGCGACCCGCATGTGCTACAACGTGCGAGTTGTCAAGGTGCTAAGAGAGATGGTTTTGATACTATGTAAACGTATTTTTGCAAAGGAATGAGAAATATAATAATAATAATCTCAAGACAATTCACACAGCGCCATCTAGACCCAAGTTAAGCTATCTAAAGCTTCTGTTATGGGTACTAGAAAACTGATACAAATACATAGATTTTTTTTTTCGTTAATAAATACATATTATACATAGAAAACACCCAGACCAACACAAACAATCATACTCATGAATACAAATGTTTGTGCCGTGCGAGGAATCGAACCCGCGACCATCGGACGTAAAGCGGTGTGTTAAACCACTAGACCACTGAGGTCGTCAAAATTTAATAAAGAATAAAGCGAAATATACAATAGAACAATAAAAAATCAGCAAAATGGTGTACCCATAATAAAAGAGATAGAATCACTTGTTTTAAAGTTAAAACTGTATCCTTGTCAATGTTGTTATCAGGTATGAAATTGAGAAGAATGCGCTGGTGGTGTCGGTGGTGTCATGCCAGGGTTTGCCGGGTCGCGAGCCTGCCGGCCCTGACCCGTACGTGAAGCTGCAGCTGTTACCAGAAAAGCAACATAAGGTCAAGACCAGGTATGTCTATAACTATGCTGGTAATAATATAGTTATCACAGACATATGCACTATTGTATCATCTTCAACACAAAAAAATGGTATTATATAAGAAAAAGTTAGCTATGGGGATTTTGATTTTTATTATTGTGTTTCTGTGCTTTTTTGCTCGGAGATCATCATAGTTTTATTCATGTAATCCTTGAATTAATCCTATGGATTGACTTTTCAGACTTCATCCTCAACCTCCATAGGTTTTTAGCTATACGGTTAGTGCCGGTGAATAGATTATTCCATATTTATCCTTTTAAAAAAACCTTGTATAGCGAGATATACTCTACTATGTTTTAAAATGTATAGAACATTTTAAAACAGATAATTGAGATCTCGCTATATTAGAGTATTTTTTTATTTGACTGGAAAAACTACAAACCAATAAAAATGTAATTTTATTTTATTGCTTTATACAAATATGCTTTAAGAAAACAATCTCTTTATTACAGAGTAGTGCGCAAAACTCGCTGCCCGGTGTACGACGAAGATTTCACATTCTATGGTCTGCCTCCATACCAACTCGGTGCCATCACGCTCCACTTCGTGGTCCTCAGCTTTGACAGGTGAGTTTGGATATATACGTATAAAATAAAAATAAATGTACAATTTAAATCTATAAACAACAAGAAATACAGGATACGGAATTATTCTACTTTTTCTTCCTTAGGAATGGAAACGCCCCCTTACCATTGGGGTATAGTTGATGGTTTCTAGTTAGCTTTTTCAGTTACATAAAAAATAAAGACAAGTATAGAAAGTAGCTTCCAATTAGTCAACCCTGAATTACATAGTAGATACAGCAACTAATTAGTTGCTATCAAATAACAGTCAATGATAACGGTTATCTATTTGGAGAGAATCTGTTGATGTATAGCTATTGGAAATTAGATATTGCAATTTTATTGAGAATTAAAGGAATAGTGCATGTTCTTTATTAATCCGCGCCTTGAAATACAGTACAAGTACAGTATTTCACGGCGCTGCCCGCGTAAAATACATCCTTTATTGGAAGCCGATAATATTATCAACAACTTAGCCTATGAAGGTGGAATATTTTTTTAAGATGATCTAGTATTTTTTGAGATTCAATTGGATAATTATAATTTATGAAGTTATATTACGATGTCATCTCTATACGATCTGTCTTCACGTCAAATTCAATTAAAATCGTTTTAGAAGGTTTAGAAATGAACAGTATTTACTAACTCATTTAAAATGCACATAAAGTAGCGATGGAATAAAAAAATCTAACAACTATTTACAACATATCATTGATATCATATTCATACATATATGTGTACATAGACATACTTTTGCATATATAATATTAGTATGTATTATTTTTTTAGATATTCCCGCGATGAGATAATTGGAGAAGTGGTGGCTCCGCTGTCCAGTTTGCAGCTGCAGAGTGGGGAGGCAATGGCACTGTGCCGCGAAATACAACCGCGCAGCCTCAAGGTGATATCGTACCCCACGTTTATAGAATTTTTTTTGTTTGACACATCTTTAGCTTGTTACGACCCACAACCTCGTCTGTAGAAACTGTCGTCTTTCATATAAGCCTAATTCCAGACATTTTTTTGCAATAAAAGGTAGCTTATGTCCGTTCTCGTGATACTATGGTATCTTAATATTATTAAGATTCGTTCGGGCATTTAATTGTCAAAAAGGTAACAGATAGACGGACAGGCCCACACAATTTAAACACATCCAGAGATTGTTATCTTATTATCTTTAAAAATGAAACTGCAGTGCATGTTTCATCTATTTCACCGTCAAATAGTTTTATCATTTTTTATAAAGTGTTTCAGTTGAAGGATAACATATGGCAGTGATATTAAAGTGCATGACATCTTAGTCCACCGGAATGACAACGAATGATTTACATAATGGGCCGTCAGTTTGTTTGCCATTTAAATAAATATATGTGATAACGGTGGTGCGTGCAGATGCGCAGCGTGGGGCGCGGCGAGGTTCTGGTGTCGCTGTGCTGGCAGCCGGCCGCCGCTCGGCTCACCGTCGTGCTGCTCAAGGCTCGCAACCTGCCCAAGATGGACGTCACCGGACTTGCGGACCCGTAAGTTGTTATCACTATTTTTAACGGATTACGCTGGCGGAGCACTAGCGGAAGATAATAAGATGAACAAGAGGTCAGGTCAGTTAGCCCCTTATGTTAAATTCACCAGGAATTATGATGGTTTCCAGGAGGAGCATGGAGGTCAACCTGACTGAAACTCAATGAAATTTTACAAAAATGGTCATTTGTCTACATTACTAGCAATCCCCTCTTATCACTATTTCATATCAACATTTTTTCAAAACACGGAAGTTCTGAGCCCGAATGCATTTTTGTGTGTTAATTAAACCGTGATGTTGGGTCAAACTCGTACCCTATTGGACATCAATGGGCACCGATGTGGTGGTGTGTTGACGAAGTTGGCGAATTGAACCATTTTGGATATACCTGTGGTCTGACCAAGTTCAGATGCGTGACAGTGAAGCCTTTGCATTAGTTTACAATATACAAATGAGGTTGAGATCTTCCCAACAAATAAAAAATGTTCTCTAAATGTGTGTGCATAATGCATAATATATAGTGTAACACATTATATCTTATTTAGTTATATCTGTGTCCGTAAGTACATAGTACATAGTCGTATCAACTAGTATGCAAGAACTTTTAATAACTTAGATATACAAATGTGGACTGCAAATAAAAAAATGCTTTTCCTTAATTTAATAGATACGTGAAGATGTACCTGTTGTACAACGGACAGCGCATAGCCAAGAAGAAGACTCACGTTAAGAAACGAACCCTGAACCCGGTGTTCAACGAGTCGTTCGTGTTTGAGGTGCCCGCCGCGCCCAATGCTACGCTCGACCACGTCTCTCTTGAATTGCTCGTGCTTGATTGGGACAGAGTCACTAAGAATGAGGTAATATATTTTTTTATTACCACAATGGTCGCAAAATTGCTCACGGACTTGTAAAATAGCTCGTGGTTCTCATGAAAGATTTAAAGTAAACTTTATATAAAGTCGTTTGCATAAAACGTAAAAGTTTGTCAATTAAAATCACCAAGCAAAGCTTGCATGCTAGCTTGCAAAGATGTGTGGTTAAATATTATGATAAAGTTCAGAATATGAAATTACAGAGTATGACGAAGAAATTAGTCATCCGGAATGGCAACGCATGAGGGCAAACATCAAATGATAACGGAATTTCCATAGTGCTGATTATGTATTTAGTCAATGATTACAATTTTCCATCTGATAGGCTAATTAGCCAGCTTGCCATTCCAGAAAGTAAAAACAATGATAATGTATAAAGAATACCACGTGTTATTATTTACCATAAAATGATTCGTATTAATAATAATAGGACCCATATTAATTATATTAGTAATGTGACAAGCTCATGTCTACGGTGCTGTTCATGTATGTAGCTGACTGTTGCCACTTTCCATCTGGTGGCCTATAAGGATTTACCAATGCATTAAATAAACAAAGTATAAGTGTATGGTGGTTGTGCAGGTGATCGGTCGGCTGGAGCTGGGCGCGGAGGGCGCAGGCGGCGCGCGGCACCACTGGCGCGAGGTGCAGGCCGCGCCGCGCCGACAGATCGCCGACTGGCACAAGCTCAAGGAGTGAACGCCATCACCCACCACCACCGCCGTCGCCACCATCACCACCACACCACTATCACCGAAGCTGTCAACTTTCAAACGTCCCGCAGAGTACGAGCAAACTAAAAATCTTATAATAAACTCTTCAACCTAAATGAATTTCGTCTAGTTAACTATTCTAATAAAATAACATGTTATTTCTTATTTTGTAAAGTGGATTTAGATTGAATCACGGGTTTTTTGAATCAGTGTGAAAATGAAAATCAGTGAATCGGTGTCGTTGGACATTAAAAAAAAAAGAAATTAATTTGAAGCAAGTTAATTTAATTTAAATCCACCTTCACTTGTATTATCTCATTATAATAAACAACTTCAAATAAAATTAATATTATTAAACACATTACTAGGACTTATTATAAAAAGAGCTTTATGTTTACCTAATTTTACAAAATTACTTCCTGTATTTTGTTTAAAATAACATCATACATTAATAATGGTTTGATCTTATTTCAAAATAACCAACGAATCATAATTAACAAATTGTTTTTGTAAATTGTCTAATGATGAATAACTTTGGTGGTGAATATATTAATAATTCTGGAAACGGGAGCGCGCTTACATCTGCTGCTGTTTTGTTACATTTTAATACTAGCACAAATAACTGGTACAAATTAAGATGTGACAAGTGTATGAATGTATGTAATGGAGGTAAGGGTATTTTAATGGGTTAATATTTTAATTCGTCTTTTGAAATTACTTATTGTGTGTAATTTTAACGAAATGGTAGACCTATATGCCAACTTGAACACTTGAACAATACCTATACTAATAAATCAGTTGAGCATTAAAGTTTTCTACATGTTTTCTGCGAACTATTTTTAAAATATGTATAAGAATTGAAACATCTAATATTGATGTGTACTGATTGTAAGAATAGTTCTAATATGTATACCATAGCGAAACGCTGATAATATAAATATATCAAAATGGAAATGTCATTTTGATATATTTATAAGAGCAAGATTAAAAAACAATATTACCTTCATGTTCGATTCAGTATGAAAGGTGAATTTGTTTAGATAGTGTTATTGATACGTCTCTTTTTTTTTAAACTATAGCCTATTAACTGACTTATATTATACCCGTAAAAGAGGCTGTAGTTGTCCATATGATATTGATTTTCCCCGTCCGATCTGCATCCACTCTATAGTCCCTCTGTGACGTAAATTACATTAAGTCTATTTTGTGTCGGTTTCATGTTACTGTATTTGCAAAGACTAGTGTAGAAGTTCCTTTGTAACTCCTATTTCTCTACATATCTAAGTGTATCTACGTGTTGAAATGTACTTAGTTTGCATTGTTAGAGCACTAATCTAAGAGACAAGTATTCAAAGAACATTGTACATACATATATAGAAATATATGCTACCTCTGCTTCTTCGATTTTTATGGGGTTTCCTATATATATTACAAATGTATAGTTTTCTTTTATTAGAAATAAGGCAGTAATTTCAGCAAAACCGGAAGCTGTAATTGCTTTATGCATAATTAATAATGAAAAGTTAGTTCTACATTTATTTCACTTATACATTTATTTTGTGGTCCTATATGTATAACACTTATTTAATGTTGTAAACAATACACTCACGTAAGATTCAAATATTATAATAGAAGATAATAAAAATTGTATGAACATTGCAACGTGACTATTCTGTTATTACTAAAGTATGGCGTCTTAAAAGCAGCAGATTACGCGATTACAGTTTTTTTCTTTAGGCAAGTATTGAAAATCGAAAATAATATATCTAACTTAAGCGTATAATATTATACAGGTAAATAACGTAAAAATTGATTGAAACTCTCAAACTATCTAATTAATAAATTGGTAGATGGAGTTATTTAATATGCGCTATGCAAATCGTAAAAGACAACAAGCTAATGTTGTCTTTACTACCTGTAGTTTAAGGGAGATTATCTAATGTAATTGAAAATCCTGATTACAAAATTCGTTTATTCGATATTGTTCATGTTATACTGATTTTTCGTAACAGATTATATCCTATACGGATTCTTTTGTAGCTATATAATGAGATGTAAAAAATATGTGTGTTAATAACCACAATGAATAAATATAAATAACAAATCTCGACGATGATGAAAACGATGTTTTGTCATAATGTTATATATCCAGTCGTTTGCAGGTTTATAAAAATTTGGTAGGTACGTATTATACTATTTATAAACGATTTTCCTTGTAGTACATTTATACTGGTACCTTACTCTTTTGTATTGTACTGAATATAAATATTTGGTATTTCTGACGTCTTGTATCTCATGAACAACATTGAATTTTTCATGGATATACTCATTATTATTGTTAGTATATAAACATGTATAGTAAATAGGTTAGAGAAATAAATCTATTTTATACTAACAGTAGGTAGTGTTATATTTGGATTTAGTAAATTATATAATTATGTAAAGCTCATATGACGAGGCTTTGAGCTTTTAGTCACGTGTACCTTTCTAGTGTTGCATTTGTCACCATAGATGGCGCTTTCACTGTTGATCTCAGTCTTAAAGGATTGTTTCTACATACATTTTCTGATTGATAATGTTATTTTATATAGTTTCACATAATAATACGATGACGGAGTGAATTTACTTATTGTATGTAAGTTTCCTTTACATCTATTATATTATATACTTAGTTATTTATATATTTTTTATTCCTATCGTTCTTTGTCTATGGTAGATAGCGACAATAAGGTTTAAAAATAATTTATGTACAGTTATCCGTGTAATTTAAAAACTTTTATTTTAGTCGCAATTTTTACAATGATCACCTAATGGCTACCCTTTGGTATAAATTTTACCGTAGCACTTAGATACCTATATGTATATTTATTTTATTTGATGGCAACGAAAGTTAAAGTTTAATAGGATACATATATTATATACCTACATACCTGATTATTATTATTGATTTAAATCAGAGAATTAATTAAATAAATATTACATTAAAAAGAACTTTACTCCTGCGTAAAGTAAAAAATGCGATTGGAATACGAAAAAAATATATTTAATGTCATAAATTTTGTCAAATTGTATGTATAACAAAAGATATATGTATGTAGGTATTCGTAATTAGTAAATTTACTAAGGTTTCAACTCCATACTGTAACATTCCAACTCATAACATGTAAATACCCATCGCTTCATTTTACAGTAACGTTCGCTGTCATATATAATTCGTATTTCTAAGAAAATAACTATATTAAGTAATGAATATCACTAAATGTTTTTTTTTTAATCATTCAGTGTTTTTGTATTTTCGATCGGTGTACATGAGTGTTGTAGAGTTATCTCTAATACTCGTAAGTTCTAAATTTATCTCTAAAAGTTCGTTGACGGACACTATAATATTATGACAAGAAATATGAATATAGGCATAAAAATATGGAAAGTATTACCACCAAACATATTTGAGACACAATATAATAAATAACATCCATTAGGTACATTAACTAAAATTATAGCGCAAATAACTTGTTGCAGTTAGTTTTTTTTATAAACTAATAATGGTCTTTTAACATGTTATTGTTGTAATTTTGTTTTGGTTTGAATAAATTCTTTAACATTGCATTGGACATGTCTACTATCCCAAATATTGTATTATTCCCATATATTTCAGTGATATTACATGAAAATTGTGCTTCATTTATAAACGTCTGTTCCTCTATTGTCATGTAGACTGTTCCTGTAGAATATTTCAGTCTACACGTCAATGTTAATGTATAGGTGTTTTTTTTTATAAGTTCAAGGTACTGAATTTGTGGCACTCCGTCCTCATTTCATATTGCTGAACGATCGTTTATATTACAACGTAACCTATTAATTTAAACTCGAGTTGACAAGAGATACCACTGTCAATTTGAGAATTCAAACATACAAATAAAACATGGTAGTTATAGTGTTCACTTATTTGTTATTTATGTCTTCTTGTATGTAAGTTGTTATCGACGTAATATCGTCTCGTTAGCCATAGCCATAGTCACGTCTTTACTCCGCGGCGCTTGCGCAGGGAATCCCTTCCCTCTTGCGCACGGCGGTCCGTGTACGCTCGGCTCGAGACGATAGATAATAAACTGCTAGTGTTTCCACATACACTACAGTAGTCATTTAAATATTACATGTAAAGTTTTAGTCGATGCTCGTGTCAGTCGATATAATAGTGTTCATCACGAACTATTTCTCCAGCACTTGTAGATCGACGTCACCACTTCACCATTATCAGATTTGTATACTAAACGGATTTTAGTGAATAAATTATTGACTGGTGCTTTCACATAATTGTTTGTTTTATTTCAACACCTATAATTTAATTGCAATAATTAATGAGTAATGTTATGAATGTATAATATATAATGTTACGATAGTAGGTAACACTGGCGCTTTCACATCAAAACTACTGAACTCAAATGAAATTTGGTACACAGTATAATCTAGACCCTGAGAAAGGACATAGCCTACTTTTTAATGCGAAACAAGTGTTGGTAAAGGTTGTATGGAAGTACCATTTTTAAAGCTAGAAATTAGAAACTTATTTTTAGGCTGTTGTAAAATTATAAATAAATATAAATATTATAATTGCGGCCGTAGATAAAATGTTCTATATGAATCAATTGATTTGTTGTAACAGGCGTTCACGCATAATATTTATTGCTATTTCTAAACTCTTAGTATAATATAGAATAGAATAGAAAATCATTGATTAAAATAAACTTAATTTAAACACTTTTGAATAGTCAAAAATTTTTTTTTAAATCTACCGCATATTCGGAAAGCTGTCTCATCACAAGAAGAAAAAGCAAGAAACTTCTGTGTCGCTCTTTTAAACAATCCTTGTAAGTTCACATTTTACAAGTCGAAACGAGTGAATATTAACTACCAACCAGCACTAATTTATTTTGGGTCAAATATAAAAACACAATAAGATTAAATCAGTCGTAGTGATTAGAGCAGACCAGTCAGTCAGTTCACGAGTATGACGGATGAGCCAGCCATCACTGCGCTCGACCATATTTTAGGGAGCCCAATGACCCGGCCCACCACGTCGCCACATGTATGGACATTTTAGTGAGCATGACTACTCATTCCACACGACCTCATAAAACTTTCAAGTTTGTAAAAAAATTACCATTAAGGGTAAAATAAAATAGGGGATGAAAGTCTGTATCGAATTCGTCATTTGTCATTATTCCACGCGGGTACAATTAGTCTTATATAATCGGAGAATATTAAAACAATATCATGTGCGCCGTCAACTTGTTTTTTCGTTCCAGTCACACAAAAAAGGCACTAATAAAAAAAAATACAACATAATAAATTTTATCAATTGTATATTTGATATCAAATCTTATTACATATACCACAGGCTTAATAAATATATTATACATAGACAATAGCGGTCATAGGGCTCGATTTAATTAACAAAACATGGTTATAGCCCGTCAAACCAATGTTGATTCAAATTGTCATGTTTCCGTGTGACATTTTTTATAATATTATTTTTCCATAGAAAGGAGATCGAACATTATGTTATTTTACAATAAACTGTATTATGTTAATGGTATTTCGTATTCAAATTAAAAGAAGTTGCCTATAATGAATAACTATTCAACCAAGACCAACTCTTACGATATTGAACATAACAGAGTGGACATTTATTAATATAGTTTCAGGCTTTAATATGAATAAAAGTATTTACCTCACTTTTTAGTAGTTAGTTTTGGCTAATCTGTGGGTATCTCATAAACTATTTTAATAATGTGTATTTAAGGCGAAAAATTAAAATAAAATAATTTGGGGCTAAGTCCTCAATCCATAGTTCATTCAGACCGAAACTTTTTTGTGGCTTGGCTTTTGAATACAATTTTATTTAGTCAACACACAGTTTACAACTTACTAACATTTTATTTTCATGTAAAGACATCGATCACTTATATTTTTATTACATGTATAGAGTTAAGAATGTTGAGCCAATATCGGAACAATGGTGGAGAACAAAATTATAAAGTATGCCCCTTGACCGAATTTATCCCTACAAACACTAAAATCAGGGGCATTGTAGGAGCAGTCCTATAATGGCCCTGATTTTAGTCTTTTGTGTAGTGTAGTATATTTAAGTAGAAACAAGACATTTCATATTCATTTACACGTTGTACGTTTACGATATATAGATTTTGACGCGAAACCCGCACTACGATGTTAACGGTGTTGAACACTCACAGGTACATCACACATAGAACAACATTAGAGATTCTCCAAGAAATGATAATTACATTACACAATTATATTGTCTTTTAATACAATCTCTACATGGACGTAATTTTTTCGTCAACTCCACCGGTCACCCCTTAAGATATCGATGTTAAATCTTATGAATTACAACAATAAGTGAACATTTTTAATGTAAAACAAATCCATTTTTTATTCATAATAATTGTGTTAGGAAATTGGAGAGTAAAGAAATGGGTTGCCAATCTGCCAAATTAAGATGCCATACTTTCAGAGGCATTAAAATTAAAAAGCGCTTTTTTAGAATTTTTCATTATCTATAATGGGGTGATCTGTGGTATATGATCAGATGTTTATTTAAAAACATTAATCGAATTAAGAGTAACCATGTTTAACATAATTTTCAATATACCAATTCGTTCAATCTGTTTCACTTAATATACTAATAACTATTGTTAAGTGTGTTAAGTATTGATTGGAAAGTGCAAGTTTGCTTTTCTTATTAACATGACATCATACATGACCCGTACCAGAGACTATAGGAACATAGTCTGTTAATCCGTGGTTACTCCATTCTTATAAACACGTAATGGTGTAAACACCCTAACATCAAAATCGACTTATGTTACAGTGAACAGTGAAAATATTAGGCAAGAATTTATAATGTGCGTAGCAGTGGAAACTTAGGATTATTTTTCTATTACGTTATATATTTAAAATTTGAAGGATCGTTAGCGCTTTTGTACAATGTACGTGAATAATATGACGAAAACAAATAGTCTGCGTTGCCTATAGCCAACCTGTAGGCATCGTTCATGATTACATAGTGGATGTGATGGAATAAAATAAATATAATGTACTATCAGCAGAGTTTTTTTAACATATGTTTACAATACAATACAATTTTTAAAGGGTTATTTAAAAACATTACAATTTCACTACAAAGTGTAGACAAATGAAAAGATATGTTAATTAATACATAGACTATTTACTTTCCAATCAATAACAATTATTAGCATTCGTTCCTCATACATTTGAGTACACATTTTTATTTGATAATATTTTAGTGGTGCGGTGTGGTGGTATGTATTTTTTCAAGTTCACGTTAATAACGTAATAGAAAAATGGACCTTACGCTACAGTTACTTAGTTTAAAGTTTACAAAACAATATACAAACTAGAGACTAACCGACCATTTATTGCTAATAAAGACAGAGATATGAATTTTAGTTCAGATATGTTTGAACTTTATACTCGTAGATATATTAATGTATTTGGTCCGAAGTTGTTCTGTATCATTTTAAAATATTAACTCTATATCTACCGTACAGTGGTTATTAAAGTACAACAATAAAATATATAATGTACAGAAATAAAAATAGGTTTTCTGATACAAAATATAGTCCTATTTAAATCGTATATTTTGAAATAGCGAAAATATCGCCGTACAGGCATGGACGCTGGCATAAACTGTTGATTTTGGGGTTTTTGTTACCAAACATGTCAGACCTAAGCATAAAATAGATATAGAAAGTAAGCCAGAAAGTAAGTTATAAACCATTATAACTTACTTTCTGGCTACCTACAACTCGATTTGTAACCGACACTGAAATGGTTCATACATTAATATGTTCACTTTCAATCTGTTCAACAATTACAACAACGTTACAATAAAATCTCCTGGTTTACACTACATAACACTTCTGCCGAGGTCCATGGCAAAATATATGGTAGATATAAAAAACGTATATAAATGCTAAGTAAGTAGGTACTTATTTTTTTAATTACAAGCAATATATGCTGTATTGCAAGTAACTAAAAAAAATAGTATTTAATTCTTAGTTACATTTCAGCGTATTACTATTGGTAACTGTCTTGTAAACTATTTGTAATACGAAGGTCGTGTATTTACAATTGTTAAATGCAGGATTAATATCTTTTAAATAATAAATACAAAATATACAAATACAAATTATATTGTAAAAAAAGAGGCAAGACGCTTAAACCGACATAGGCTGTTTTCAAGTTATACTTACCCATAAAGTAAATACTGTGGCAAAAACACGGCATATAGTTGAAAATTCTAAGACGAGTGTTATATTTAAATACTAGACTTATGACTTAAGATATAGTAGATATAGTAAGAGAGTAAGGCACAGTAGGGAAATATCCTACTTGCCTAATAATTACTAAAGATAAATTAGGTAAGGTTTCCTGTCGGCTTCTTGTTTAAGCATTGAGTTTTTACAACAATGACTTAGGACATTCTACATTTAAGATATCCTTCGACGAAAAAGAAACTGAAGATAATCTTGCCAAAACTAGTAGAAAACCTTTTCGATTGCTAAGAAATCATTTAAATTGGTTCAAAAATATTGCCACTTTTGTTCGTTTTCCAAAAAGACGTTGTAAATACACCATTCATGTTGAATGTTTTAAGTATAGGTACAGCGTAAAAAAGAAATAATGTTATTTGGGAGCCCAGAATCTCATCATAATGAATAAGGTACAGAATATTTTTTATCCATGTAATTAGAATTATTATTACAAAAACATAATAATTGAAGGTTTTATAGAAAATTATTATTAAATAAAGCAATGACTATTCAATACGTGTCGTAAAGTTCTTACAGTTAGTGACTTCTATATTATAACTAAACGCGAAAAATAGAAATTACTCATACACCTATAAAAAACAGTACAAGTATAAAAAAAAAATAAAAACTTCTCTATTTTAATGAGTATGTTTTGTTAGTCTTAATATTCATAATAAATAATTGCAACACATTCTTTTGGGACAGTATTTAAATTTGTATGTATATCGCTTATATAAACACAATTTACATTCAATATTAGACAAACTTAACTAACCCGTTGTTTATACATTATTCTAGTACTATTTTTAAATGAACGGTCAAGTTACTTTACACTTATAATATAACAGCCAGTCGATCATTTTAGTGAATAAAGCTCTTAAAAACGATACCTTACAGTTTATTTTCAATTGTCACCATTCATTTCAATGCATTATTATGTGTCCAAATGATATTTATTGACACGCAATCATCACCCTTTGAGAAAATAATGCAAAAAGTATATTAGTATTTGAAAATCATTTTCTCTAAAATACATACTTGTATTTATTAGAAAATAAAACAATAATATTAAAATTCTTAACTTAAAATTATTAACAATATAAGACGAGAGAGCTATGTTGACTCAATCTATACAATTATCTATACATAATAAGTATCTAGATATTCTCTTGAAATACGTGCGAGAGGTGAAAAAATAGAAGCATTGTGTCTATTTATAAACTAAGAAAGTTACTTTTGATTACACAAAATGTTATCAGCAACAGATACAAGTACGCAATTTACAAAGAAATTATAAAAAGTCCATTCTCAATAACTTCAATCCAATGCTTTCTATCAACAGTGCAAACACACGAGTAAAGTCGACAACTGCCTAACGAAGTTTCGACGCCGAAGTGTCATGCGTGACGCAGTTCTCCTTCAGACTGCCGAATACAAATCTCCATTTGTGGAGATAACATTAGGAAGGTTCCCACGAAGAATAGAAGAGAATAGAATCTCGGAGATAGTGTAAGAGGCACCTTAGAGCAGGCCACGATCGAGTTCGCGGCGGAGAAGCCGAGCGAGCGCTTGTACGTCGGCTGACACGGCTCCCGCGAACAGAGAATCTAGTAACTCGGCGCGACTGACTAGCGCGAACACTCCTGCCAGCCGCGAAACTGACTTGTCTGACAAATGCCTCTCCACCACTGACCTGAAACGGATTGTCTCTTTTAATAATAGTAACATAAGTCCCGCGGATGCACCCGCGTGAAATTTATAGCTAATGTGTTATTCTGATACATATGTATAAGCTATACGATTGTAATGTTTCATTAAAATCCATTCCATAGTTTTTACGTTAAAGAGTAACAGATAAACACCATTCCACAAACTTCCACATTTATAATATTAGTACGATAAAACAGGATAATTCACACAGCGACATCTAATACCAAAATAAGCAGAACTTGTGTTATAGATACTAAGCAAACGATAGATATTTCTATTTGGAGACACATACATAATACACATAACAACTATAAATAGAAACAGACAGCCCCTTTTGCTTTGCTTTTGCACCCCTACATAGATGATAAGGTGATCTACAAAAAATGCAAAGAATTTGTGATTTTTTTAAGACTTTTTCTCTCTCTTCATACTTTTGACATAAAGTAATGACATACGTTATTTTGTGTCAAAAGTATTGGCGTTAATAATAACATTGTGTTTATTTATTCCAACATTATTTCTCAAAAGACTAACTATTCTACTTTGAAGTGCTTTACGTTGGCAAAAATGTATTAAATCTGTAAGACTTTATATAATATTAACACTTATTTTATGCTATGTCATTATTTTTTATGACATAGCATTTTAATAGCTGGGCACAGAAATTACGTAACCATGTGTACTGCTCATAAATAAAGTGGCAAAAAAGTGTCAATTCATCCCTCACGAATTTTCATTTATTTTGTACCACGATGGTGGCATACGACCCCATCTGAACAAATAAAATGTTTTCTAAGCACTAAGTTACCATACCACCATACTATGTAACTTTGCTGACATATCCTTCCTATCAAACCTAGCTTCTTGTTGAAATAGTTAAGATGAGGGTACTACCCCACCCGAAGATTTTGTACAAAGTCTGGTGCGGTTAAATAGTTGTAGAAGTAACTAACTTGAGTGACTGATGTGATTCACGCAGGGCGTCCTGCAGGAATCCACGATCGTACGAGAAATCTACCTCGCAGAAAGATACGACAGCCATCAGCACCGTCTGGAATAAATTAATGGCATTTTGATTATTGATGATCAAATCATTTTACACGCTGGCGATGCCCCCGTGAAGGATGATAAGATGAGCCAGAAGTCAGGTCAGTTAGCGCGTCTTGGCAAATTCAATAGGAGTTTATGTATGACGTTTCGCAGGGGAGATTCCATGAAGTTCGACCTGACGTGGTAAATTAGTAAAGGCACTATTCTCTGTTCTTAATACTCGTAAGATGAAATAAAGTTAATTGATATGTGCAAATATTCGATTTTTTCAAGGTAACAATATATTTTTTAATTACTGTATAATAACGGCAGCGTTGCCAACGATAAAACAGAGCCTCGTACAAAAAATCTATTAAATGTGATATAATCTATTACCTCAATTTGGAACCTAACCTGGTTACAATCTCGTACATAATTTCACGAGAAAGAAAGGCTAAAAAAGCGTATTTATACGAGAAATTTTATTGCAAATACTGCAATTAAACAATTACTTTAAAAAATTAAGAGCAACTAATCTACTATTATAGACCAATGCTTTACAAAAATCATTCATAATTTTTTTTTTTTTTTTTTTTCGGACTACTCTAATGCTGTTGGCCGTAGCTGGCCTTTACAGCTTCACCGGACGTTATGGGGCGAGTGCAGATGGCACTCCAAACCCGCGGAAGGACTTATGGAGCGGCTGTAGGCCAACTCCTGCCCGACGGATACGAATCTGAGGGCACCACTAGGGGTTCGAACCTCGGCTCAGGCCGTCGTAATTTCGATCCCCGTTTGAATTGGACGGGGGATCGATCGGATGGAGCGCCCGGGCGCGCGCAGGCGCCCGGTTGAATGCGCGGTATTGTGTGTTTGGTCGTCGTCTTCGCCGGCGAGGACGGTGTCGTGTGTGTGTGTAAAAGTGTGGTCGGGGTGGAACGGGTGGGCCCGTGGGGAGGTTACCTGCCGTTATGGGGTCGTCGGGGTCAATGAGAACGTGCCTCGGGCGACGTTGTCGCGTATGTCGGATATTACTCCTCGGTGCGTAGTCGACCGCACTGACTATAAGCGGATTAGGGTGGGATTGGGCAGAGTCGAAGTAGCGTCGAGACGCTTCCTTCATAAACTGCTTGATGGAGGGCAGATTAAGATCGCGGTGGAGATCTACGCTGCGAACGAACCACGGCGCACCGGTGGCTCGACGCAGAAACCTATTCTGAATGACCTGCAGTCTGTTGATTAAGCAGTAGGGTATGTGGGCGAATACGGGACTAGCGTAGGTCATGATGGGACGGATGCAAGCCTTGTATAATGTCAACTTGTTGCGAAGCGACATTTTACTGTGCTTGTTAATAAAAGGATAGAGTCGCCCTAGTATAAAGGCGGCTCGGTCGCGGACACGCTTGATGTGAGGACGAAACGTTAGTTTCCTATCTAGGGTGACGCCGAGATATTTCGTTTTCGAAACCCACGGGATGTTTTGGCCGAATAGTTCGATCGGGTGATTCATAGAGTCGAATTCCCTGCTAAAGTACACTGCTGCACTTTTTTCGGGATTGACTTCTATGCGCCACCGACGGAACCATTCGCCCAGTATCGTTACGGCGAATGGTTCCGTCGGTGGTATCGTCGTCATTCATAATTATAGTCGTCTGCGTATTAAATGTCCATTAATATTGTGTCTATAGGACTTAGACTGAACATACAATAATAGCGTGTTTTAGAAACAACACCAACGCCATCTAGTATGGCAATTAGTAACAACTAAATTATAATGCATTTGCTTATGTCGTACGTAAATATATGAAATCGAATACCTACAACATCCCATTTTAGTAATGTAAATTAACCTTTTTTTTTCGAACTACAAAGTCTTATTCGACTTTGAAGGAAGTAAGTTTAAATTTATAAAAACGTGAATGAAAAACCAGTTCCTACTAATGGTGGTGGGTATGTTATTTTTATTAATGTACTGGACATTAATATATCAAACATTGACGTATGAGTTTATATTATGTGCTATATAATTTGCTGTTACCCGAAATAAAGTTACTTTCTTTTTCTATGAAGAAAAATTGTAACAGTAGTAACACGAAATGACCTCAATATATATTTATTATTAATAATATTTCTAATACTCAATATATATTTCTACATTATATTAACAATGCAGAAATAAACGCAGACAATTGACCTCATTCTATGTATAGTTGGAAAGCCAAGTCGTAACTTGGTGATAGTTCTTGTCTATAAGTCTTCAAGTCACCACTTATCTTCAGTTTGACCGTCGGGGTGATAACCATTCAAGTTACAGTAAAAAATATATATATGGTGACTATATATTCATGAAGTGTGTTAGAGGAGAACAGTCCTCTCTAATTAAGTAAAATTAACAATGGACCAATGCTTTAACGCCTCATGGATTCTCAATAGCGATTGATGGTGTTATCGATGATATTTTATGTTAATCGATAATGTTATGTTATCGATATTTTTAGATTCCAATAACAGCATTGTAAATTATTAACTACAAAACAAATCAGTTTTAGACAGTGTGATTTTTTATTCTGCAAGTTTTTGCAGAATAAAATTATTAAATGAGTAAGACGTTATTAGTCTTGAAGCGTTTATTATAAGGGGTCTTACATGGAATTTTGAGCGAAATGCAGCTAGTGCCCTGTCGTCAGCGGGGGAGAGATGTCCGTGCCGCCGTAGCACCCCCAGCTTCACCGCTGCCTTGATGACATGCTTCACCAGTTTCTCCGCTTCTCGCTTTTCCAATCGCTCGCGAAGAACCGTCAAAAACTGAAATGGTTCAAAATATTACATGTTATTATCCATAAATATCGATACATACAATTTTAGTTAGCGTAAGTCAAAATTAAATAAACTATCGTTGTTTACTTTTTCATTGTTCATTGATCCCTTATAAAAATTAGGAACAAAACAATTAATATAATATCTTTCTAAAATAGTTGGGTTAAAGTTTTTAAAGTATGTTTTCGAATATACTTTTTAGATGTTATGTGCATCTAAAAAGTATATTCGAAAACATCACTAACAAACCAAATTTCAGTTGTATATATACTTACATTATTTTATATGTTACCGGTTATTCGATTCAATAGAATGAAATATAAATATTTATTCTACCGCATATTCGGAAAGCACATTCACTCAAGAATTTTTCTATTGCTCTTTTAAACCGACTTATAAAAAGAAAGCGGTTCGAACCAAGAAAAAGATGCCTATTTCCAAATACGTAAACTCAGGAACCTTTACAGAATGTGTTGTAGAGATGATGAATACCAATTTCCTGTTGTACCATTTGTAGAATAGGCCATTATTGCCTTTATTGTAGCGTACTCAGAGAAATATATATATATTAATAGCTATGTACTTCCGGCGATTACAATTGCGAGTTAATAAGCTACGCATTGGACCTTCAAACATTGTTATAGATACTGGAGTTATTGAACAATATATGGTCAAAGTCAGATTGTCAACACTGTGCTGTTCGAAATGATTATTACTAGACAGAAACTTTTGTGCCTCATTATTACATATTTTTGGCTGAGTCTTTGGTGAAGAAAACACCAATATTAAATCCGAGGGACGGTGGTAGGCTCACCCCCTGCCTCTTCACATATTCTCTTCTTCCTCTTCACACGGCGAAATGTCAAGTTTTGTTTTCACCAGGACATCGATAATTGACAATGCGTCTGACTACCCAATTCCGAATTTACAGTCATGATAGTATGTGTGTGTATGTATTAAAAATGGTAGCTGCATAAAGAAGCATTACTAAAGTGTCATTAATTAATACATAATGTCGGAATAGTACATCCGCCTGCACCCACCGTGTTCGCAAACGGAGCACCAATGGAAGAAGACAGAGCAGACATAACGGTCGTCAAGTCAGTTAGGCCATCGTGGAGAAAATATTTCTTTTTTCTTAGACTAATTTCTTAATTTCAAAGAAAGTGACAGAATACTGTAGTACATACTGTAAAAAGGATTTAGCTTTTATATGAAGAGTTAAACAATAAAAAAAAGTATCTACCTGATCGAGGAGTTTGGCGGCATGTTCGTCGAGCACTAGTGCCCTTGCGCTGGCCACGCCGCCTACCCTTGATAGGAACTTTTTCTGCGCGCGCAGCGAAATGTCGCGGGCGCACCACGCACCGCCGTCCATCGCTGTAAATGAAAGAAACATTACTTATAGGACACTGTATGAACGATTGAAGTGTGAGATATGGTAGTGAATCAAAGGCAATAGATGCCTGACATATTAATGCCCTGGAATGGCATGAAGTTACCAGAGTAATTACATAATGACACGATGTCCGTGGTATATAACCGACGGTTGCTGCTTAAAATCAGGTGAACCTTCACCCTGATTGCCGTTCCAGATAAATAAACAAATATATTTCGACATGTACTATAGAATATATTTTTTATCTACAATAAATTACATTCCACATTAAAAGCCGACTAACGACCGTGATAACCGTTTGGACCATGTTATGGTCATGGGTAAAACCTATTAATTACAACAAATCATCGTTACAATATTGTATCACCGTTTTTGGCGAATATATCGCTTATCATTTGGACAATACATCTTTTGGGAACTGAGTCGGTTAGAAAAAGACGTATTTAATCTGATTAATATTTTAAAACATACACTTCTAGAAATTTCTAGCAACAATACGAGTATTAATATAAAAAATATAAATTCTGTTATTTTATAGTAAAGTAGTTGAGCGATAGACAAAATAAAGTGCCAATATCCGATTCTAATGTACCATACATTAGTATCGGATATTCTGTTGTTTCTAGGTATCTTTAACATAAGACGAGTAAAATTTTGCTATTTCGCTATTTTGCCACCAGACACAAAAACAACGAAATATAAGAGTAAAAGAAAATAAATTTGTATATTTGGCAATATGGTATACAACTTTATTTTCTTTTACTTAGCTATAAAAAAAGTACAAATAGCTGTTTGAGATATTATATGATGATAATAATCCAGGACAAACAGGACACAGCGTTATATAATCTTTATTTATCCATTGTAGCAGAAAATATCAAATAATTCGTCTGTGTAATGTTACTTTCAATTATACATTTATTTACACATAAACCTGTGCTCCTGTGTGTAAATCTCTATTATAATGAATGTGCTTTCTGCTAAGACAAAATAAAAATAGAAAAACATTCCCTATTATGAATGTGACATTAGAACATAAACCAATTTGCCTTTGACAGTCCACAGCACTGTTTCATAATCATTTCAATAGCCGGTAATGTTTACAACTACTTGAATGCCTACGTGTAGTTTATTTAAACTTCCCGACTGACAATGGTCAATTGCACTATTATAACAATTGAATCTCTCTGAATTAGGACAATGTGATGTTGACGGCTTGTTTTCATAGTACTGCTATTATTATCATATGGTTAGTCATCAACTACATGAATTATTAGCACTACTTCTATCATTTCGTGAAATAATGAATTTTTAAAACTTTTTTAAAACTTTCTACTAGATAGACAATACCTTTCGTCTAATATCCTTATATGGCGGCCATCTTGAATTGACAATGATACTGAAAGTATTTTGACGATAAGGATAATGATAAAAAATACATTCATAAGTGGCAGATGATGTACCACTTAATGAATAAATGATTTGAGATTGAATACATACGTATTCTCAAAACTAAATCTATGGTCCACATATCAGATTCATAACATCGTTTAAAAAGAGATCCATACTGTAGAAACATTACATAATAGAATTATAAGACTATCAAATTAGAATGTCTTGAAATAGCCATTAAGAGGCCTTTCACATTTTTTGGCCTAAAAATCGATAATATTTTACATAGATATCTAATCTTAAAAACAACATCTTTGAAATATTTTCTCTTTGTTAGTCTTCCTAATTTCTAAAATAGTTTATTCAAAAACGCTAAATGACAGAAGTTTGTCGTCGTTCATTAATAAACAAACTAAAACTTGATAATTCAAGCGGTCCTTTTTTTCATTTTCAACTTAAATACGTCGAAATTTCAACAAAACTTTGCCATAATCATTTCTAATTTTCTCATAAATACAACGAAATTTTTGCATAAAAAAAACATAATAATAAAGTTAATATACCATGTATAAATTCCGTTGCGCCAAAAGTAAATTCTCAGTGGCGCGCTATAGAGCGACTAAACCATTTTGATAATTTAAGTAATATTTAATTAATTTTGCTAATATATACTTATTTCTACGAATATTAATTTAAAGTTGTTGTTAAATATATAATATATATATATATTCAATCATCCAGCCCTAAATCTATAAACGTAACGGCATCGTGGGGTTATTATACTCGTTGGACTTTCATTACTGTACAGTTATGTCAAATAATTACATTATAAATGTTTTTATTTAGAGACTAGCTTTTAGCTTGAATATGGGATATATAGGTTATCGCGCGTTTAAAGATCCGTGTACAGTATTGGGACGTTATACACACTGGCGCAGTGATACGAGGTTTGACATTAACAATTAATTATTTATGAAGAATCAAGAATCGGCCAACCAAGAACGAGAAGCTGCAATATAATATCATTTATGAAGATGATCAAGTTGAAGCTTTTTTTACAACTTAGAATGGCAAACACGGCTCTCCAGATGGAAAGTAACCGTCGCCTATATACATGAGCAGTATGAACCGTACATATAAGGATGGGACCTTTAAATCAAAACAAAGCCTTGAAAACACAACTATTATATATAAATAAAATAATTATTTGCTAAGTTACAGTAGTTTAGACTTTACGTTGAGTTTTTGCATGCAAACTACTTCATATGCATCATTATTTCTTGATGTACTTATATAAAACAATATTTATAAGTTTATAATTTGTATTATCTTGTTGCACTATACTAATAAACCAGTACCAGAATGAATGACGATTTTGCTACAATCTGACGTTACCATTTGTATGAAGCAATACTCCAAAGTTTAATCTGTTGGGAACAAATAACATTTAGTAGTTTATAAAATGTGTGTTACAATAATCCTGTCCAAACACCGACCTTGTTCAATTATTGTGAAGAAGTTTTAAAATTTGGTTTGAATTTTAAAAATTCTTAATAAAGATCCAACGAATGACTACAAAAAACGCACCCATGCGAAGATGGATCGATACTGAGTGTTAAATAATTCTATTACAGCTGATAGTCATACTAACTCCGACTTGCTCGTAAAACCTATGCCTAAGTTTATCTCTTACAAAGTTCTTATTAAAAGTTGGTCGATAAACTCCATCAGGATTCACATAGCGCACTCGTCTCATAATCCTCATCTAAATAACCCTAACTCTTCCTAACCGAGATTTATGAAGTGACGACTCTTGCCTACTTTATCTCGGTTCACGCAAAGTGGTTCCAGTTACTATATATGTAGATACTAATGTATCTTCGCCTGTTACTAACACGACATCTATCATTTTCTTTAAAACAGATTTAAAGTTAACATAATTCAAATTTTCCTGATAATCTATACATATATTATAAAGAGAGGAAGTGGATTTTGCTTTGAAGAAAATAAACTACGGACCCACTGCACCGATTTGAGAAATTCTTTAATTATTTGAGAGGTACATTATTCCAGAGTGACATAGGTATATAATGTTAAAATATACACAAGGCACAAAGTCATAAACATTTAGACGAAAAAGGGGCTGATCAATAGTTACTTTGAAATTTTTTTAGTCTACTAGAACGTTAATGATAGAATAAATGCAATTGAGCTAAAAATTAAAAACAGTTCTTTCTGGATAGCATTTTAATAATTAAAATAAAACGTTTTAAAAGATACACCTTTTCATTTACCAAACACTATGGATGAATATAATTTATTCCTGTTTAAGTACTCTCTGTATTTGTATCTATTCCATAGCAACCGCAAACTGTAGCTGAATATAAAATTTCAAAGTTCAACAAAGTTTCAATTGGTTTTGAATTTCCCAATAACTTTGTATAATCTTAAGGGGCAGCGTTCCCAACTACAACAAGAATATCACAGTCAATAGTTAAATGGAGGTATTTAATTTGAAAGGTTTTTTTACCAGCGTGAAATTTATAGCCTACATTATTAGAAAGTTTCATTAAAATCCATTCATTAGTTTTTGCGAAAAGAGTAACCATCCATGCATACTCACAAATTTCCATGTTTATAATATTAATAAGATTTTCGCCGAATTTCTATTCCTTTGAGGACTTTTTCCTACAGATCAGTAAGTTATTACAGTTGAGAGGTCAATAGAAATTCAAATTTATATGAATATTAAGTAATTCTAACTAATAAATGCGAAAACATGTGTGTATCAGTATTCTCCCATAATGGAGGTTTAACAAATAATCCCCCAATCTATAAGTTAGTATTTTTTTGCTTGTTCTTATTATTTTGTTACTTCAATTTAATCTGATTTTAGACCTCCTGGTACACTTTTCGAATTAATTTCAGCAAGAATGTTTCTGTTCCCATTTTTAGGTCTACCTGCACATCAAAAGCAGTCAATAACCTCCAACTTTATCCACACAAATCAAAGAAATTTTGATAGTATAAATGGATAGATGCACGGATGTTTGTTAGTCTTTCACGAATTATGATGAAACTTTACAGTAATATAGCTTATACATCAGAATAATACATAGGCTTTAAATTTCATGTAGGTAAAACCGTGGACAGTTAGTATATTGGTTTTTCCAATGGTCGTTTAACTACAGACGCAGGTGCAGAGTTGCTTAGACACGTATTTGCTGCATGGGAAACTAAAATGGATGCGATAGGTGTTTTTTGTGACCTTTCTAAGGCTTTTGATTGCGTTGATCATATTAAATTTAAAGCATTGTCTTTGACGCCATAAAAAGCAAGTTTTTTTAGCAATGTATTTGCTAAAAAAACTTGCTTTTTATGGCGTCAAAGACAATGCTTTAAATTTAATAAAATCTTATCTATCTGATAGAATACAGAAATTGTGCAAATGGGTGTACCTTAACGATCTATTCTCGGGCCATTTTTATTCCTAGTTTACATTAATGATCTCCCATATGCCATGCAGGATAGATGCGGCATAGTATTATTTGCAGACGATACTTCATTGATTTTTAAAGTTAATAGAATG